TTTTTTTTCAGTGGCACTAACCCTTTTCCGTTCTCTTGTGTTCTGAACAACAGGAAAACACTGAATAAATATACGTTTCAGCTCATTTATGGAAAATACAAAAACCTAATGAAAGCGTTCGGGTGGAGTAACTTTAGCTCCATCAGCCCCCACCCTTAGAGCGCCCCCACCCTTAGAGCGCCCCCACCAACTTTCATCACAAAGTTACACCCTTGATCGTTGTTTTTTTTGAAGATGAGAAACTAATTTCCTATACAAGATAATAAAATAAACCCAAATAGGTTGTTTTTCTAAATAGTCGTCTACTTTGAGGCTCTAAACCAGTTTTTCTTGGTCGGATTCGGGGCAGAATGGCTCTTTGGATCTGAAAGGTTGCAGCCCCCCCCCGCCCTAATGAAAAGGAACCAGCCTGACTGTAGCTTCAGCTGCAGGATGCTAAACATATTCTGCCCGTGTACCAACCTCTCCAACACTTCCCTCGCCTTCAGGCATGTCCTTGATGATACAAGTGGCAGCGGCTCTGAAGACGATGGCGAAGGACTTCAGCGTCGCCGTTCTGGTAAGGATGACTCAGTCCTTGATGTTTCCTGCTCTGAATGCAGGCTTCATTTACGCAGTCAGTCCCTGCAAACTCCAACCTTCCTCTGCCTTTGATTTGATGGAGGGAAAAAAAATAAAAACCCTCCAAGACATGAACTTAATGCGGTTAAAAAGCGTGCAGTCACCACAATTAGTAAGTGTGTTTGATTTTCCACGTGATGTGTGCAACAATGTGAATCTTCCTTTCATGTTTAAAGCCTGTTTTACTATTTAAAAGGTGTAAAAAGCCATAAAATATGAGGATATAATCTCCCAAAAAAAAGATGCCGTCTGAACCCGCAGGTAACAAACCATGTAACGAGAAGTGGCAGCGGGGAGGTGCAGCCGGGCCTCGGCGTATCGTGGAGCCACGTCCCTAGAACCAGAATCCTGCTGGAACGAGTTGAGAGAGGGGCGTCTGTCAGCAGCACGGGTCAGCGCTCCGCCACGCTCATCAAGTCCTCCAGACAGGTACCCCGCCAGCACCGCCGACTCACACCACAACAGAGGTTTCTGCCGCTGTCAAAACATGGTGTCGAAATAGAGAGCTCAACGCCGTCTTCCCAAAGGCCCGGTTTGATAAAGACTCCTGATTTCCATGGAAAAACATCTCCAGGCAGGATTTTAGCAGAAAAGTACAGCAGACGCATCAGTCTAATTCATACAAACAGGCTGTAAATAATGAGTCATGCTCCTCATTTACATGCAGAACACTGAGGCTCTTACCCACAGTGATGGAGCCACATGCTGAGCTCGGATAAAATGCAAACACCTGAACAAAGCATGCAGGTAGGGACGGACATGCAGCCGTTATAAATGAGTCCCAGAAAAATCTGCATATCGCTCGTTCTGTTTTGTGTTTCACACTAAAATCACAGACAGAAAATAACAGTTTGCATTTAAATGCAAAAATCTCACATTAAATTTATTAATTTTGACTTCTGCTACCTAATTAATAAATAAAAATAGTGTAGTTTTTATTGGTAATGATACTGCTAATGTTCATAAAACGGATTAGTTGGAATGACTGCAGGTTAAAATTTGGGCAATAAAAACCAAATTATCTATAAAAATATATATATTTTAATTCAATTCAGTTTATTTCTATTGATTCTAGATTTTCTATGTAAGGAAAACCAGCTGATTGCATCGACTCATTGACTCTTCAGCAATCCCTCACACTAAGCATGCTTGTAGCGACAGTGGAGAGGAAA